CGCTCCCCCGCAATACGCCCCACGAGGGTGATAGAGACAGAGCGACGAAACGATCGTGGGGTGGTGTCGGGTGTCGCACCGCTTGCTGACGAGATGGTTCGTTACCGTTTCAGCGAGGTGGCAAACGAAACGACCCTGCTGCCGTCAATACTCCTCACGCAAGCGCACTCCTCACGCCTCAACTAAGCCCGCGCCGCAGGCCGATGTTGAACAGTGCTCTCGTCGCTGTCTCTCTCCATGGGGCGTCTCGGATGGGTGCGATACAGACCGAGCGACAACCAGTCTGCTGAGAGGCTCTGCGTCGCTCTGCGTACGGCGAGGCGGCGACGCGACTGCCGATAGTGCCCGCGCGAGCGCCGAGCGGTCCCAAGAGCGGTTCCCGACACGCCGAACACGCACACAACCACCTCCCCGGCGCCTGCTGCCTGCCTGCTTCAATCAGAAGACAAGCAGGCTTGATCGTAACTGAGACTCGTCTTGACGCCACACCACACTACCACGCTGCGCGACCCGACTGGTTTCACTTTCCTTCGCCGCATCTCAAATCAAAAGGTCCCGTGGCAGGGACACTGTGAAGCAGTGCCTCTGCCACCTCACGCGTGTGCGAGCATGCGTGTGTGCGTGTGTGCGTGCACTCGCGTGTTTGGTGAATAAACATGCGGGTGACAAACGCACACATGGTTTACAGCTTCCTTGAGTGTGTGCTGGCCGCCAATATTTGCTCGGCGAGGCTAGTGGCTTGCCATGCGATTCGCGCTGTTTCAATATCTCGAACACGTTCAGATTTTTAGCAGATGATACCTTTACTTTAAAAGATACCTTGAAACTACAAGACTCATAAAGGTGTCAGTTAGCTTTTACTCTCGTTTGATCGACAAAGAAGGGCGCGCATAGCGTCGTTTTCCTTTGGGGCACCAAAAGAATTGACAGTCGGAATGAAAACAGACGTGTCCTCCCAGACGGAACCACGACTCCTTTCTCTCCGCATGGAAGCTGCAGCAGCCATCGTCATTTCTCTGCGACTCGCGTGCTTGCCTCACGCAATAACTGTTTTTCTGTCGATTCCCGCCCGTTTTCCGGCACATCGTTATTCGCAGTGCACACGCCGTTATTCGCAGCACACTCTTCGCAGCGCCCCCTTTGTTTCCTGGCGTGATGGAGCGGGGCGAGGCGGGGCGAGGCGGGGCGAGGCGGGGTGGGGCGGTGTGGCGTGGCGCCGGGGGCCTGCGGTCTGACAAAACGCTGACTTGTTTACAGCCCGGAGCCCCCGCAGTCCCGTAGTCCTTTCTCCAGCATTCGGTAATTCGGAAACGAAACGAAACGGGTTCCAGGGGGTCGAGCGGCTGGAGTCTGCTCCGTGCTGCTTCAGGCTGCCATGCCGTCGTGACCCCCGCCGTCCGCGCCGCTCGGCACGTTGGCACACACGCCGCGCTGGGTCACCGAGTCTTGGTGCTCGCCGTGTCGGCCGTGTCGGCCGTTTTGGCCGTTTTGGCTGTGTTCGCGTCCCCGCCGTGCCGGCCGCGGTCCGCGCTTCACAATGGCCCGCCAATGGCGGCCGCGCGGCTTCGGGCTGGTCCCGAACAGCGCTATAGCTCTGTCTCTCTCGCGCCCCACGGGACGCGACGGCCCACCGTGAGTGCGAGCGAGACAGTGCGACAGCCTGCCGGACGACGCCGTGCTTTACGACGGCGTTCTTGACCGGCCAACAAAGAAGTGTTTCTCGGCGCGCCACTTCGCCACTTTGCGAGGGTCGTGCATGTGTGACGTAACACGCTCGGGGGGTGGCCGCTCCGTAGACGCTCCGTCGACGCTCCGTCTCCGTCGCACCCGCGGCTCGGCCCGCAGGGGTGTGAGAGAGACAGGACGCAGCTTGGAATTAGTCTACTGCAGGCTGCAGGGCTCGGCCTCTCGGGCGTAACCAATCACCGTTTCCAAACTGATCCTGTCTCCGATTTCCGATAAAGCAAAGTCGGGATGGTCGTGCGCGGCGTGGCCTGGTGTGGATGATGGGGAGGGGAGGGGATGTTGCATAAGGCCGCTTGACCGCCGCGCTGCGCTGCGCCCACGCACGCTGCACCGATGCGTCCGCTCCGTCCGCTCGCCGCGGCTCGCCGCCCCCTGCCTTTCCCGCCGATCGCGATACAAAGCGGGGCGAGGCGCGAGGCGGCGCGACCCGGCCGGGCTGGGCAGCATGCGGCAGCATGCGGCAGCAGAAGGCACGCTCCTAGCGGACTCATTTCGAACAGTGCCGCGCCGCGCGCGCAAGAGACAGAGTGCCAGTCTGCTGGGAACAAACGAGGCGACTCTGGGAGACTGCAACGCTGGAGGCAGGCCTAGGCAGGCAGGCAGGCCGGGGGCGCGTCGCGTCCCCGGCGCGAGAGCAAGCCGACCAAGGGAATCTGCTGGGGAAACTATGCAATGGTGTGACCGCGTGGGTAAAGCGGACCCTTCTGAACCGTGGACTTCCGGGCTCGCATCCCGAAATTGAAAAACCGCAAAAGTTGACACCTGTCGAATCCGAGAAACAAGGCGAGTCTCTGGCACGCCGTGGACGGCACTGTCTGTCTGGCTTCCTTTTCAGTTCTATTCCTTCCGATCCTGAAGGTGGCCGCTGCCTGGCCTGTCGCGGCGCCGGGCTAGACCGGGTAGACCGGGCGGAGTGGCGCTGACGGCTGTTTTTGGGACGAACTGAGGCAACCCGTCTCGACCCCAGCCTGCCCCAGTACCGCGGGCCAGGCGCCTGCGTGACCCCACACTAGGGAGGCAGAGAGAGGAAAAAAGAAAAGAGAGAGACGGCGTGGAGAGTCTCACCTGGCGTGGCGCCGCGTACAGCCGCCATGGCGAGATGACGGCGACTCGAATAGTGGCCATCAAATTGATTGCTACTGGTAGACGTGCCGCGCGGCACCGTGGCGGCGTGGCGGCACTGCAGGGGGTCCAGTGGGGAGGGGGAGGGGTGCTCGTCTCGTCCAGGCCTCGCAATACGTTCCAATTGGTCTCTGCGCGCGGTTTCGGCGCCGCCGCCCCGCCGCCTCGCCGCCTGCCCTCTGGGGTGCAAGACTGCAGGGGCCAAGGAGGGGTCGCTGGAGGCGGGGCAGACCAGCCACGGGCAGGGTGGGGTGGGGTGGGGAGTTTGAACCGCGGCCACCGCCAAATTTTCCATCTCACGCACGTCGTTTTCGTGTGGAGGCTCTTGATTTGCGGGCGTGCCAGGCTGCCCCGCCAAGATCAAGACGGTGCACGTTGCGAGAGGTCATTTGAAAGCCACGAGCACGCCAATTGGGGAAAGACTGCTCACATTCATTGTACAAAAGCAGGCTAAATGTGAGTCAAATCAAGTGGAATTCATACCCATACCGGCACAATCATTGTACATAAAATCGTCCAGTGGGTCACTCCTTGGGCGGAGAGGCAGCGAGGCAGAGAAACAACCAGTTTGTTTGGTTGGGCTTTTGTTGTCCGGGACTGGTCTCCGGTGTGAGCAGTGAGCATGTCACGCCATCGGCGTGCCGGGCCATGCCGGGCCATGCCGGGCCGTGCCGGGCTCCCCAAAGCCCCTCGTCCCGGCGGCCAAACAGCCTCGGCCTCCACTCATCCTCGTCCACACCTCGAGAAAGTCAGCCCGTTAATGTGTAAGTGGCATCCAATCCGCCGGGGAAGGCGAGAGGAAAGGAGGAGGCACAGGGCCTTACGGGGCGGCAGCCATAACGCCGCAGCCGGGCGGGCCTGCACCTTGTCGCCAACGAAAACGAAGACGGAAGGAAATCCCCGGGGCTTGCATTGCCGGCTTAGCACTGCAGTGCCAATCGGCGCGGCGTGGCACGGCGAGGCGTGGCGAGGCGCGGCGCTCGAACTGGGTGACGCGACGCGACGCGTGCTGTTGGCACACGGCACGCGTCATGGCCCACCGACAATGGCACGCCACCGCGCACGCCACCACCAACAGCGAGACAATTAAATCGAGGAGATTGAAACAAGTTCAGCGAAACCAACGAGCACTGGACGCACCAAAGACTTATTGAGACACTGCAAGGTGTGGGAGGCGGCTAACGTAAGGTAGCTCCGGACCCTAGTCTCGTCTCTGATTGGTCGGAACCTTTCTTTAACGGGAGCGAGCCTTGTGCCAGTCGCCTTCGGTAAGACTCCGCCTGGCTTTGGATAGAAAAAGAACAGCCGGCTAGTATCTTTTTTTTTCGTTTCTTCGCCGAAGGGTTTGACCGGACGGCGGCGGCAAGTCTCGAACGCGAACGTGAACGCGCGCTCAAATGTCATCCACTCGACCGGGCTCCGCGCGCCGTGCTCCGCCGTGCTCCGCCGTGCTGCCCTGGGTGATGGCGCCGGGCACCAGGAAGACGCGACGGCGCAACGCCACCGCTGCTTTCCCGGCCGTCGTTCCCACACGCGGTGACGAAGGCGCTTCGGTCGCTTCGGCCGCCGCGCCATGCCGGAAGGCGCTGTTTTTGTGCGTGGTGGCGGCCGGCTTCAGGTGCCTTGGCCCGCTTGGCCGCCTGCGGAGTGGACTGGCCCGCCGCGCGGCCCTGCCTGGCGGCGCGGCCTACCCCGACTTCCACGACTTCCACGTCCACGGCCTTCGGCGCGGACGCCCCGTGTGGAGGTGCGGACCAAGGTGCGGACGCCCTCGCCACGCCAGCGCATAGCTAATGTCAGCGCGGTCGCCTCTTGCCCCAGCTCCTCCTCCAGGCCCTGCACCAGCTGGCCAGCCGGCGCGATGCTGCAGATGCTGCGCGCTGCGCACCCCCCTCCGGGTCCTCGGAGTCCTCGGACGGGCCGGCGCGGGCGGCGCGGCGCGGGAGCGCTCTCTCCAGGATGTAAGCGGCTTGTACCGCACGCCGGCCCCCACCCCCACCCCACCCCATCCCCACCCCCAGGGCCGCCTGACGTCAGCCCCTCCCCGGCGGCTGGGCCGTGGACCCGCGGCCAGCCAGCGCCGGCTGTATATATACTGATGTTAGCGAGGAAGAAGCCAGTGTCCGTCGGGCTCCCGTCCTTCCTACTCCAAACACTCGCCATGAAGACTTTCACAGTGGTAAGTCTGTGAGTGCTGCAAGCCAGCAAGCAAGCAAGCCAGCAAGTCACCCAGCAAGCCCTCGCCGCCACTGGATTTACGTCCACAGCCTCTTGGATACCATTGTGCTGCCCGGGGTGCCCGGCCTGCCCGGCCCTGGACTGTGACTGTGATTTTGTTTGTGCATCCCGAGACCCGCGACCTGTGACGTGCGACCCACTACCCGCGACCCGCCGCGTCGGTCTTTTTTGTGACTAATGCAGGACGTTGAGCCTCGCGGCTCAAACTTTAATCGCCGGCAGGACTCAAATCTACTTTTGTGTGAATTTTGAACAAAATTGTCTGAAACTGCCTGTTTTACTTAGATGAGACAGAAGAAGCGTCCTCGACTGATCTGGAAGCCATTGTTTGTGCTGTTAAATTTGCCTTAAAGTCGTGCATTGTAGTGCAGTTGATTGCGTGTAGAGCTCCTTCAATCGGTTCGAATCGTCTGACAACGCGCGTCCCGACTCAGCGCCTCTCATTGGCAATTAGTTTGTGAATCATCCAGCGATACCTCTTCGCGTGGAGAGCGGTCGCGAGACAACGGGCAAGGCGTGCGGGCTTAGAATGGATTTAGAAAGACGAGGGTACAGGTCTGCCCTCCGGTTCTCCGATGCTGTCCAACGCGAGAGCGAGACAGAGACGCGCGCACCGAGAGGCGGGCGGACATCTGTTTTCGATCGTATCGAATCGAGTCATCGAATCGAGGCTCGCTGTCGGGCGATCGACTGCCCTGCGCTGCCGGCCCTGCTGCCCCGCGCGCTGCGGCGCAGGCTTACGTAAATGCCTCGCGGCCCTGCAGCGCCCGGCACTGCAGTTGCAGCGCCTAGCAGCGCCTTGCAGCGCCCTGCCGCCGCGGCACTTACGACCCGCGGCTCGCCGTTCATTGACGTGATTGTTTTCCCGGATAGTGTGGGTGGGTACGGCCCTCAGCGCGGCCCTCGGCGCGGCCCTCGGCGCGGCCGGCCGGGGTGGGATAGCCGTGACGCAACTTCCGCGATCGTAGCGCCGCGGTGCCGTTCCCACGATGTGCCGGGTGCCGGCAAGGGCTGTCCAGTGCTGGTGCTTTTCGGTCTGGGCAACTCGGCAACGCTGGGCGAGCCAAAGGCGTAAGGCACTAGGCACGGTCCTTTCTTGCTGCCTTTCCAAAGGAAAGCACCCGCCCCCCGCGTGCGTGACCCCTGGCAGGGCCTGGCCCAGCTCTTCCGCGGCCGGCTGCCGGCTGCCTGGCCTTGCGTAACGTTGGATGACCGCGTCCGGGGTCGGCGCGGTCGGCGCGGTCGGCGCCCAGCTCGCCCAGCTGATGCAGGCAGGCTCGGTACCCCCGCAGCGTGCTGGCCCGGTCCGTAGTAACGCGTCGGGCCGCGGCTCCGTGACGACGCAGTAGCCGCGGGATGCTACCTTGTGTGAGCTTTTTGTCACTGCGCGTCCTAACCATCTTTCTGTTGTTGCAGTGCTTGCTCGCCGTGGTGGTGGCGGTGCAAGCTGAGGCCCCCGGCGGCTACAGCTACAGCAGGCCAAGCGGCGGCTACTCCGGCGGCGGTGGCGGCGGCTACTCTGGTGGCGGCGGCTACTCCGGTGGCGGTGGCGGCGGCGGCTACGTGCCCGTCCCCGTCGGCCCCTCCTCCAACGAGGGCCAGAACGTTGACCAGCAGCTGCTGGGCCAGATCCGCCAGATCATCCTGCAGCACGAGAGCCAGTCCTCCGGCGGCGGTGGCGGCGGCGGCTACTCCAGCGGTGGCGGCGGTGGCTACTCCTCCGGCCCGTCCTCCAGCTACGGCGTTCCCTCAAGCAGCTACGGCGCCCCCGGCGGTGGCTACTCCAGCCGCGTCGTCGGTGTTGACCTCGAGGGAGTGCAGCCCGCCATCCAGGTCGCCCAGTACGAGCAGTCCTCCGGCGGCGGCGGCGGCGGCTACTCCAGCGGCCCCTCCTCCAGCTACGGCGCCCCCGCCCGCTCTCCCAGCTCATCGTACGGCGCCCCCTTCTAAGGAGTCAGTCGCACGCGCCCCCGCCCGCCCCTTAACGCCCCCAATTCCACCCACCGACCCCCTCGAAGACGCCACCGGCGCTCACGCACTCGCCACGGGTACGGCAGCAGCGAGCGCGGGGCGGCGGCGCGCGTCTCGAGCGCAGTCCGGGGGCGGGCACCCCATCACCACCCTCACCACCACGGTGATCACCACCATCACCATCGCAGCAGCACGCTCGCAAGTCAAGCGGTCCAGGGGAGGACCAGGAAGGATTGTACATAGTCACTTCACCTCATCTCATCACATCCCCTCCGCCTCGTCGGTCGGCGCCCGTGCCACCTTCCCTGACTCGCGCGCGGGGCCGAGACACTCACCGCGACCACGACCATCGCGACCACGAGGAGCAAGCACTTCATGTCATCACCCATCATCGATGTGTCGAGAGTTTTCGTACGTGTAAATAGTACAACCATCTTTTTTATATAAAATAAAAAATACATGAGCCACCGTTAAACCCCTGTCTTCTCGAAAATGAGGCGCTTGCGTCGCACCCTTGACACGCCAAGCGTTGCCTCAAAACTGAAAAAAAACCACTCCCACTACGGCGGGCTAGCGCTACTTACAAAGGAGGCGCGACTCAAGGCGCCACGGCGGCTCTTTGCTAACCCGTGCCATTGGCAGTCTGGCTGGCCTGGCCGCCCTGGCCGCCCTGGCCGCCTGGCCGCACTGGCACGGCCGCAAACTCGGGCCAGATGACGGCCAGACAATCCGAGAGGTCCTCGGACACACGGCCAATGGGGCTGCACCGCGGGCAGCAGGGGCGGTGTTGAAACGCGGCTTATTTGGAAACACGCCGCGGGGAGGGGCGGGGGACCGCGGAGCTGGCACAAGCTTCCATAGGCCGTCTCGGGCTTATGCAGAGTCACCACCTACATCCTCGGGGTCAAAAGTCAGAGGGTCATTTGAGGGGGAGGGGCGACGGCATGTTTCCTCACCACTCAGCAGATGTTGCCTCGAAAGGTTTCCTGGTTCGGTGAACACGTTTGCGAGTCGGACCTGCACGGCCGGCGCGGCGTCGCGGCGTCGGCGTTGCAAATCCCGGCGGCTGGACGCTGGACACCCCGGGGGTCGCCGTCGACCGGGCAGTGAAGACATCCTGACGACATCAGATGAGTAGCCGCTGGTTTGCTTTGGTACACATACGTATCTCGAGACAAACCCATAGGCGAAAATGAACCCACAAAAAAAGGATTAACGACAGTACGAATTTTTCTGAACATTTGAGATCACTGAAAGAAAAGCAAAACCCCACAACCAAAACAGGAAGAAAAAACAGCAATGAAAGGTAGAGTGCTGACCAAAGACTCAAAACTCAAACTCATTCCAGCTTGAAATCTAACCATCACTCTTAAAACCTAGTAAAACCGAACAAAGCCAATGAATTCGAGCATCTCACAGTTGAAAGCGAGAACGCATTGCCCTGCCCACAGTGGCGTGCGTGAGTCAGCCACAGCGCGCAAACTCCAGGAGAAGGGCGCGCGAGTTCGTTGGGTTGCCGAACCGGCAGGAGCAGGCCAAGCAGGCCGACCCCTCGAGGGGCGCACCACCAGGGCCTTCGGGAGCAGAGCAGTACGAGTCGAAGCGACTGTCCCCTCCCCACCTGAACTGAAACGGGCGCCGAGTATGCAGGCAGCCCAACGCACGCAGTGCAAGTATGTTCGGCTGCCCACCCACTCGGGGTGGTGAACGCACTCGAAGAAAAAGTGAACACGAACAGATGTCAAATTCTAGTGATTGCATACCTTTTGCGCACGGTATCTCCGAGCGGAATAGCATACGACGCACATGGATGAAAAATACTGTAGGGCATGAATTGGAGGACTCTGATTGAAGGCGTGGCATGCTTACCCGCTCGGGGGCTAACGCAGCGGTTCTCAACGTTGGGGTCGCGAAAAAAAATTTCGAGGGGTCGCGGCGAGGTAACTGGGGTCGCTTGGGGTGGCGGCGGTTTCCCAGCTGGCCCACACGCCGAGCACTGGCGGGAACAACTTTTAAGTTGATGAAAACGGTCACAAATGTCTTTGAAAAATCGTGTTTTGGGCCGACTTTAAGGCATCCACTGCGTCTGATCCGAGGCGGTATTTCGTCCTCCCTCAACGGGCAAATGGTCTTTAGACCTTTCTTTAGCATGCCTTTGTTACGGAGTGCGATTATCTGCCTTAATTTGGGAGCAGTATTGCCGCAAAGTTGATCAAAACGGTCACAATTGTCTGTGAAAAATCGTGTTTTGGGCCGACTTTAGGCATCCACTGCGTCTGATCCGAGGCGGTATTTCGTCCTCCCTGAACGGGCAATTGGTCTTTAGACCTTTCTTTAGCATGCCTTTCTTACGGAGTGCGATTATCTGCCTTGGTTTGGGAGCAGTATTGCCGCAAAGTTGATCAAAACGATCACAAATGTCTGAAAAATCGTGTATTGATCAACTTTGCGGCAATACTGCTCCCAAACTAAGGCAGATAATCGCACTCCGTAACAAACGCATGCTAAAGGAAGGTCCAAAGACCAATTGCCCGCTAATGGAGGACGAAACACCGCCTCGGATTAGACGCAGTGGCTGCTTAAAGTCGGCCCAAAACACGATTTTGTAAAGACATTTGTGACCGTTTTGATCATTTTTGCTGCAATACTGCTTCCAAACTAAGGTGGATTATCGCACTTTGTATCAAAGGCATGCTAAAGGAGGGGCCGCGTGGGGTCGCGAAATTTTTCCTGGGGGTCACGGAAATTTTTTGCTACAAATTTGGGGTCGCGAACCGAAAAAGGTTGAGAAACGCTGGGCTAACGTGTGTGGTTTGAGCATGCGCGCCGCGTTGCCGGCCGCTGACTGCGCAGCGCCGTTCGTCACCACTGGCCGACATGCGGCTCATTCCTGTCCGCAAATTTCTTAATTTCCTGAAAAGAACCTACACAGAAAAGGCAATTGACGTGCTTGGACGCCATATATCCAGCCTCCTGCCTCTGCCGGTGTTTGCTGAGCGAGGCGCTGTGAGCAGCCACCGAGGTGGCGGCTGTATCCCGGCAGGTAGACAGCCCATCCTGCACGAGTCGGATGGGAGGTCTACTGTCCGGCGGTGGCGACGAGCGACACGACGAGAGTTCGGCGAACACGAGATCGCTGCAAACTAGTGGCTTAAGTTTGAGCGCTGTTCGTGTGATCAGTAAAACATCGAGAAGCTTCAGCAGATGCAAGTCGGGTACTTTTGGCACCCTTCAGCGCCTGTGAGGTAGGCCACCAGCCCCGCCTACAACACACCGCGGTGGAGATGGTGGCCTACCTCGCCCCTGTCATCGTCACAGGGGTGAGGTAGGCCACCGTCTCCACACCGGTGTGTTGGAGGCTGGGCCGATGGCCTACCTCACAGGCGCTACACGCCAGACTGTAGGACTCAGTTCCAGGAGACGGCAGCTGCCAAGCTCACGATGAAGCTGTGCGTGTGGGGCCACAACACTGTCAGTCACCAACATGACGTCATTCAGTCCAACTTAATGGGGGTGTTGAAGCAATGCCAGCGTCGCTGCTATTCGAATGTCCAGCTCTAGCAGTGCCGGCCTGCCGGGCCGCCGCCGGTCCCCGCTCGTGACCGGGCCGAGTCCTGGGCGCCCAGGGCGTGGCTCCGGGGTCCGGTTTATTTGGTTTGGGTGTGGCTCATAGCCGGAAACAGGAAGGCGAAAGGTGTGAAGCGGCGGCGCTGCCACCGATACCATATTTAGAGCGCCGTAATGCGCGTTCGGCCGCCGTCAGCGTCGTGGAGCTAAGCCTAGCCTAGCCTAGCCAGCCTGTGGCGGCGCGGAGCCCTGTCGATTCGATTCCCGCAACAGCCGCGGGGCTTCGCGGGGCCGCGCTTCGGAGAAGTCGTCGCGAGGTGCGGTAGCGGCGCGGTGGCGGCGCGGTGGCGGCGCGGTGGCGCGGATAGATAAAGAGGAATGGCATCCTGGACTGCTGGACGGCCGCCACTCGAGCGCCTCCACCGCCACCCGCACTGGCACCAGCACTGGGATCTGCCCTTCGCGTCGCCAAAGACCTGCAGGGAACTCTTGAATCCACGATGATACGCTGAATTTATTACGCGAGAAAGTGAGGGAGAGACATTTTGAAATGAATCCAGTTGCTTCTAATTCAAACTGCCTTTTCTTTGAAATTAAACAAATTTAAGTGCACACAAAAGAGACAGGAGCAGTGGCAGATCCATGAAGAAAGATTACTTCAGCCCGCCCCATACATTTTGATATTTTGCGGACTTTCGCGTTCTGTCTGGAAATCATCAGATCGGTCTCAGCCAACGCTGCAACCTTGCGTGCGTGAAAATGGGATCTGAAATGGTTGAGGCGAGGCGATTTAACCCTGCAACTACATTCCGTCCTTGCCCCGGTGATTGCCCGTTTCTGAGTGCCACTGGACATGTGATACTCAGTGTCTGGGCATTTTGAGGGAGCGAACAATCGATACTCACGACAATATCAAGGTTAGTTTGCGGGGTGGGGCAGGTGGGCAGGGCGATGTTCGTTTGGAGGGGATCAGAGCCGGTTCGAGACGGAAGGGAAGCCCAAAGTGCGTCGACCCCGTCATGTTGGGTTATGTTAGGTTATGTTGGGTTATGTTGGGTTATGTTTGACAATGTTAGGTTATGTTGGGTTATGTTGAGTTATGTTAGGTTGCAGGCGGAAGGGAAGCCCCACAGCGCGTCGAACTCGGTCGAACCTCCCGGCCAGGTTGGGGAACCTTGATGCTGTGCTTTAAGATGGGCACATCCAGTGCATGCTCCCGTAGGTAGGCAACTTGTGAGGCTGTGGCCCTCCCTGAAGCCACGCCCAGCACCACCGGTGACACGATTGCACCACACTTGAAGCACACCAAAAGGGGCGGCGAAAGGGGGGAGGGTGAGTCTTTCTCAAGACCATGACCATGACCACGACAAGTGACGTGAACTTGAACGAAGTCTGCACCTCTAACTTGACCGAAGTAAAAGCGCCTGGGCGGTCACTCTGTGATCCCCGACCCAGCCACTCCGCAGCACTGCCAGCGCGCTGCCAGCGCCACATGCGTCCGGCGCGAGCAGTGCGGGCGGGGTGGGGCTGGGGTGGGGCTGATCTGCTCTGGTATGTCCTGTCCCGCTCCTGCCGACTCCCTGCCCCGCCCCCCGCCGCGGCGCTGCGCAGCGCCCCAGACCTTGGTCCGGGCGTGGCCGTCCTTGGCTCGGCCGCACACACGGCATTGTTACGGCACTGCTGTGGCTGCCGCCGTGGCTGCTGCAGCAGCGGTGGTGGCCCTTTTGACGGTGATGCTGCTCTGTTTACAAAGCGGTCTCTATCAGAAATCTCGGCAGTGCTCGAAAATTAGTGGTTAAAACTGTGGCAAAGTGAATGACAGTGTCTGGGGGCGTTCGGCGCGTTTCCGCACCCACACACTTGAGCCATGAATGTTATCGCTCACGTGAATTTCAAAATTGACTGCCG